TATACGAATTATTCCTATACGTTCGAGAGAAATATGTATAGAAATCCGGCGAATCTATACGCAAGGTTTCTATTCATTCGCCTGGGAATCGTAAAGGGGTTTCTATAGGGATTATTCTATACGATTGATTCCTATACGCTCGATAGAAATGCATATAGAAATCCGGCGAATCTATAGACGAGGTTTCTATCCATTCGCCTGGGAATCGTATAGGGGTTTCTATAGGGATTATTCTATACGATTTATTCCTATACGCTCGAGAGAAATGCGTATAGAAATCCGGCGATTCTATACACGAGGTTTCTATCCATTCGCCTGGGAATCGTATAGGGGTTTCTATAGGGATTATTCTATACGATTTATTCCTATACGCTCGAGAGAAATGCGTATAGGAATAAATCGTATAGNTTCTATTCATTCGCCTGGGAATCGTATAGTGGTTTCTATAGGGATTATTCCATACGAATTATTCGTATACGCTCGAGAGAAATACGTATAGAAATCCGGCGAATCTATACACGAAGTTTCTATCCACTCTCCTGGGAATCGTATAGGTGATTCTGTAGGGATTATTCTATACGATTTATTCCTATACGCTCGAGAGAAATGCGTATAGAAATCCGGCGATTCTATACACGAGGTTTCTATCCATTCGCCTGGGAATCGTATAGGGGATTCTATAGGGATTATTCTATACGATTTATTCCTATACGCTCGAGAGAAATGCGTATAGGAATAAATCGTATAGAATACGGCGATTCTATACACGAGGTCCGGCGAATTTATCCCGAAAAATGAGAGTTCACGTATAATAAATTCGTATCTCTCCTGGAACACTACAAAAAATGCTGAGAGTACTTTTCACGGGATTATTATCTATATTTCAGCGGATTTTTTTTTGCAGAAAATAAATGAAAAATAACTCTTTTTTTTCTAAAGGATTTATGAAGTATTCTTCGTCAAGTGGAACACATATTTCTATGATATCCGTAAAATCATTTGACACTTGTCTTTTTACACGGTATGAAAATCATGGTAAAAAAATATAATGTAGTTGATAATTTCCATGCATATAATTTATTCCACGTAAACTAGTCGCTCATTGTTATTCAGATATAATTTTTTCACGTTAAAAAAATTACACCGTTCTTTGACAGCTCTCACGTGAAAAAAGCTAGCGAATCGTGAATGATGGTCAGGCCACGAGTAGGATATTTTGAAAATGCAGCCAACTTTATGAAAATTTTTTTTACATGTTATTTAATCCCTTGCAAAATTTCAGAAACCCCAGGTACGAGACAACAATAAAAATTCATTCGAAAGTTGTATTTGAATATACCCGGGTACGATTCCCGGCTGGGTGAAGCAGAAACTTTTTCTCTCTAAATTCTAATTCTCTTAGATTTCTTTAATGCCTGAAGGAGGTTAGGCGGTGTATGAGGTGAATTTGAGAGTGAATTTCTGTGGTTCCCGGTAGCTTAGTCGGTAAGAGTGCCCGGCGCGTATCTGGGAGACCCGGGTTCGACTCCCGGCTGGGTGAAGCAGAAATTTTTTCTCTCTAAATTCTAATTCTCTTAGAATTTTTCTTTTATACATATATACATGAGTTTAGAAGGAGCATTGATAATTTCATTTTTTACCACATTGCCAAATGGTCGATAATGTAGGGAACATTTTCATAAAATTGGCTGCATTTTTTAAATATCCTACCTACTTCTCGCCTGAACATCGTTAAACAAGGAAATAGCAAAATTGGAAATTTTTTTCCGCTATGACGTGACTGATTACGGAAGAATAATGGGAAAAAATAATCAACGTTTATGTTATCTCCGAAATTTGCCAACATGAACTACTGAGGGAATAATGCTGAGTTGCTTTGGCTAGCTCAAGCATTGTACATTTTATTTTCAGGCGCCATATTTAGTAATTGGTGAACATTATTTTTACAGACAAAGAAGTATTATTGGTTATATTTCGTCCAATGAAGATGTTTGAAGATGTAAGTTCTCCAGAAAACCACATTTGACATCAGATTAAGTTATTCAACAGAACAAATCAAGTATATTCAAATTCCATATGTCGGATTTTGCGGAAGGCCATATCGAATACCCAATAAATATTTCGTTCAAAAATAGTGAAAATTGTAGTACTCGATAGGATTTTACTAAGCAAAAAAAAATAAGAATGACGATTTTCTGTAGGAAAAGCTAAAAATAATAATAACTTGATGTAGATTTTTATCATAGACGGCTCAATTAACGATAACATTCCATCAATTCGAAAAATCATCTTACATCCTAACCGAAAAAAAACAATCATAAGTTTCCAACAAAAAAAATTTTTTTTCGCTTTTTCTAGCGAAAATCGTCATTTGTTTATTTTTTTTCATTTGTAAAAACCTATCTAGTCCTACAATTTTCCATTTTTTTGAAGGAATTTTATTTTGGGTATTCGATATGCCCATTTGCAAAATCCTACGCATGGAATTTGAAAATACTTGATATCTTCGGTTAAAAGGGAAAAAAAAATTATTAAAAAATAAAAACCGGCATCTGCAAGTCTTGTAAGATATGCGTTGATAACATTCTTCTTAGTTTGAAAAGACATACCGTCAATAAGAAAAAAAGCTACCGGGAGTTTCCACGATTCATCAAGAGAAACTACAAGAAAAACTAGAGCATTTTTGGCCATTGCAAATTCATATTTTCCAGCTGCCCCAACACCAATATCTACATAGCCACGCATTTTCACATCCCTCGTGTGTTGTAATCCAGATTTTATGCCCATTTCATCTATCATCATCGCACAAATTAGGCATTTGTTCTCCTTATGGTACTCTTCACTTTTAACTTTTAAAGTATGGAAGCATTCCTCAGAGAACCCAGGCTCTGCCTCTACAGTACTATACGACGATCGTAGAACACTGGGATGAGGTAGAGCGGCTTCTAAAGTTTCTCTAACATAATTATATGCCTTGGGAGAATAAAAATGAAGGGTAAGGGCAAAACACCTTAATTGTGGAGAATATTTCTCTTTAGAAAGTTTCTGTCGCGTGATATTGACATGCATGCGTTTGAAAAGCTCGGTAGAAATATCGCCAAAACCATCGAGACTGTACCAACCATCTTCTCGAAGATGATCGGCTTCTCTAAGTGCAGCCACAATATCCTTTAGGCTATCTACTTTGCCCTGATAGCGTAAATTCTTGTTTCAATTTCTTCTTTTCTGCTAACAGCTGGTAAATTTTTACGCGAGCAGAGTTGAGTTTACGCTGAATGACATCTCCATACTCTGCATAAGTGTGGTTATGCAGAAGAACGTTGAAGAGTCCTGGTGAAACTCCACTCGTCGAATCTATAATTACAATAAAAAATTTAATCTGTACGTTGCATTCCAGCACGTATGAAAAAATTTAACAGAAAATCCTAGCAAATTCGCTAGCAAATTCTATTGGATTTCTATTGAATTTTCTATTAGGTTTTTGCCGTTTCTATTGACATGTTCGATAAGAAATATTCTATAGAAAAAGTCAATAGAAATCGATTCCCTATAGAATTTATTTGGCTCAAATTTTCCAAGTTTTTTTGTTTGATTTTCTTGAAGAAAAGGAAAAAAAAATTGAATGAAAAAAACTCAGAAAATTTGAGCTGAGAAAATTTTATGGAAAATATCTCAATAGAATATGTTTTATAGAAGAATGAGATTCTATTGACTTTTTCGATATAATATTTTCTATTGAACATGTCAATAGAAATGGAAAAAAAATAATAGAAAATTGGAGAGAAATCGAATCGATTTTTCTAGCGAATTCGCTATTCGATTTTCGATTCGATTTTCTATTTTTTATTAAATTTCGATTTGATTTTCTATTAAATTTTATCGTGGGTGATATTTTCTCTTTTTAAAAAATGATTCTAACGAATCAATATATAACCTGGAGGTTGTGAAACAAAAATCATAAAAAAAAAGAACCTGTATTTTCAAACGGCAATTGAGGGGCCGGTGATGACGGCGTTTTCCCCAATCCTGGAAAATATTTCATAGGAAAAGAATATGATAGTCATTGCAAGATTCTATGTTCTGTGATATATAAATTAAAGAAAAATTAACCCTTCGTTTGAACATTGAGAGGATGATCACTCAGTGGTGTGGAGAGCCTTTTTGGTCCTAGCCCACCTTCTGAATCTCCATCAAGCTTTATCCCTGAAAGTAGACATTTCATTGTTAATACAGTATATACGTTGGCTTATTGATATATAAGAGGGACATTCCATGCATTGACATTGATTTTGGATGATCAGACCTGCGACTTCGAATTTATTAATAGAAAGTTAATGGTCTGATGATAAGACAGTTGAAATTAGTGTTAGGCATCTCTCGATCGTCTAGAAATAATTCCAACCGTTTATCATTCAACTAATTGCTTGTCAAGAATTCCTATATTTCTTAAAATTTAAACGAGATAAAGAACATGTTCCAGTGAACATAATTAGAGGATTATGCATTAACTTACGTTTATTCAGACTGTTAATTGATTATTCAGGTAATTGCAGGGAGGAATTTTCTTTATCGTGATTGAAAATCATTGGAACAGTACCCTTCCGTAGCCTTGCCCTCTCATCACGAACATCGATTGATTCCTTCAAAAAATGCTCTGAGCAAAGCATATACCAGTCCTTTGGCGTTCAATTACTTCGGCCCATGTTCATTACCCATTGCTCTCTCAATTTTCCAACTGGCGGAAATCTAAATAACAAAATCAAAGGAAAATTTCAATCATACTGCATACTATCATCCGCAAAATAAAACGACGTTCACGCTTCCTCCGATGAATTGAAAGAAAAAAAACGAAATCACAACGAGCATGCTTTCTTCGATAAATTGAAGAGAAAGAAAAACATAATAGATATTCCCAGAAAACAATTTTTGCCAGTGCCATCTAAAATTTAACAAAACATCGGCAATTTGTCGACAAATTGTCGACATACTGTTTGCTGGGTTGTTATGTACTTACCGATGAAAGGATAAATGTTTGCTTTTCTCTTGCGTCTTCCCGCAATATTAACACATCACCAGTTTTGCAGTGTTGAATATAAATGTTAATCCTAATAAATCATAATAAAGACAAGCAACAAACAACTCCCACGCCAAAAGATTTCGGGGTTGTGTGCAAACTTTGCACTGCAAAGAGGATTGACTAAAAAAGTAGAGGCTCAGATCTCGGGGTTGGACTGACCCCAAGCGAGAAGTAATTCGACCCCAACGGAGGGATGCCGCCACGGTCGAATCTGACGGAGGGGGAACTGCCTGTGCGGGTAACTCGGCAGTAGCCACTGAAATCCTTTAATAAAAAGGAAAGCATAATAGCTGCCAAATGAGAACTCGAATTGAGAAAAGTCGAATCGATTTCTCTGGAAGTCGAACTCGAATGAGAACGAGCTTCGGGAAGTTACTGTCAGATGGCATTGCTTGGGAAATTGGCGCGAATTTCAAATCACATTTCGGATTAGAATTAGAATACAACATACAAGTACATCCTCTTATAGGTAATGTCTACTAGACGTGTAAATCGTGTATGTATCGTGGACTATGCATATGAAAAGGGAGCCCATTCAATAAAAATTCATAAATAAATGATTTGTTAAAGTTTTTCCGGTAGTGTCTACTTAAAATGCTGACTGATTTCTTTTTCTTAATTCCCGTGGTTACATGGGTTCTGCATATCATACGTGGATATTTAATGGAGATGCCTATTTCGTGTACACCGGACTGATTTTTCATGTATTGTTTAAACAAAAGGAAAATAAAAATCAATTGTCATAGGGAGAATTTTGTTCCTGAATATGCCAGACATTTTAACAAAGTTAAGTCGTTATGATATTTGCCTCCATCCCGACTAATTGTTGAGCAAATAATGATAAATGAATTCGTTCGTCATTGTTTATCATTTTTTATCAATCAAACGGTTCGGTGGCGGGAAAAATAATGAAGACCAATCTTTTTTGAAATGTCTTGAATAATGAAAAAAAAAATGTTTTCCCATTGAAAATCGATTTTTTGTATTGAAACAGATTATCTCAAAGAATAATTTGGAATACACGGAGTAGATTCTTTAATGAATCATATGTATCATATAAAAAAAAATAAGCAATTGCGTGAAATGTGAAAGAAAATTTAATGAACATTTTTAGTAGGCAATATCGAAGAAACCTCAAAAACCCTAATGAATCGAACCCAGAGTCAACTCTGGGTTTGATTCATCAGGGAAATCATCTGTTTATCAATTCATATTGATGAAACCGTTGCAAATACGGAAAAATGTTTAAGGACATAATTTCTTCGGAATTTTGGGTGTTTCTATAGTAAAAAAAATTCTGTCCAAAAGAGTCAATTTGTCAATTGTTTAAATACTAAGAAGATCAGGTCAATATAGAGAGGAAGGACTTTTGGAAATTTTTCAAATTTTTCAAATTCGGTTCACTGAGTCTGAACTGATTCATTATTTTGGGCTTTTTTGGGGTTCAAATGCCAGCTGAGTCACGTGAACCCGAATACTGCAAACTAGGTGAAATGAAGGAGCAGAAATTAATCTCCTTGAATGTTCTTCAACAATTCAACTGGATTTTCAAGTTTAAATAAAAATCACAACGATTTCTGAATTACAGTAGAAAATTTGAAAAAAATTCAAATGATGTATCAAAGTTTCAAGGTCAGGAAATTCTCGAATAATTGTAAAAATAGCTACAAGAAATTTTATAATAATTGTTTTGCACTCTGAACAGATTTCAT